GGATGACGACCGCAATAATCTGCTTAGGAGCCGACATAACCCAGTGGGCAGAAAAATACAATATTCATAGAGCTGTCATATTCAAACTTCCTGTGCCCGCCTCCTGGGCCGGCTTTTTGCTGATTGGTTGAAATATCACTTGACCAGGAGGAGCGGTCGGGGGACACTGTGTTTTGTCCAATCAGAGCACTAGCCCCACTTCAGCTGCTCGGCCAATGAGTTGGAAGGAGGTGGGCCATGCTGGAAACAATGAAGGAAATAAGTAAATGATAGGATTAAGATGATCGGTGTTTGCCAAATGACCAGGTGAGAGCTTATGGTCTGAAGCCCAGTCTGAGTTATTATTATGTCCCTTGAATTAATATTTTTGTCTGACCCTGAGAGGCCAGGTCCTTTTGTCTTACTATCCTGCGATATGGAGTTCATTGATGAAGCAGAGATTGGTTTCGGAGATCAGGATGTGGCACAGCAGGGAGGGGATGACAAATCTCTGGTTTCTCGTAGATGTGGAAATGTCCTTTGTGTTGGGTGATCCAGTATGTCCATAGACTCCATTATTCCGAACAGTCTTCGAAGGCAACCCCACGTAGAGCGCTTCTTCTTTTTTTCTTTCTTAGGCGATCCCTTGTTGGACGAGTAAGATGGTCTTCCATTATGCGTTTCCTTGTGGGTTCGTAGGTGGCTGTGGAGCCCTATTCTTGACCCGCATCTTCTCCCACAGGAAGGGCATTGGTTTCCAGGTGGAAGGCGGTCCTGGTCGGGGTTGGCTTGACACGCCTTCTCCCTGGCACGTTTCTCTCTTTCACCCTCCACTCGTGCCTCCTCGAATTCTGCAGCACTGCTGGTCACAGCTGACCTCCAGTTGGAGTGCTTAAGGGCCAAGGCTTCCCAGTTCTCAGTGTCTATGCCAGAGATTTTAAGATTGGCCTTGAGCCCATCTTTAAATCTCTTTTCCTGTCCACCAACGTTCCGTTTTCCGTTCTTAAGTTCAGAGTAGAGCAACTGCTTTGGGAGACGGTGGTCGGGCATCCGGACAGGCCGGCCCAGCGGAGTTGATGTTGGAGGACCATTGCTTCAATGCTGGTGGTCTTTGCTTCTTCCAGCACACTGATGTTTGTCCGCTTGTCTTCCCAGGAGATTTGCAGGATTTTCGGAGGCAGCGCTGATGGAATCGTTCACTGGACTAAATTTGGCACAAATACCTGACATGCCCATATTTGAATACTGGTGGGGTTTGGGGAAGATTGATTTTGTCATTTGGGAGTTCTAGTTTCTGGGATTTATAGTTAACCTACAATCAAAGAGAATTCTGGACTCCACCAAGGATGGAATCGAACCAAACTTGGCACACAGAACTCCCATGACCAATAGAAAATACTGGGAGGGTTTGGTGGGCACTGACCTTGAGTTTTGGAGTTGTAGTTCACCTCCATCCAGGGCGCATGGTGGACTCAAACAATGATGAATCTGGACCAAACTTGGCACGAATACTCAATATGCCCAAATGTGAACACTGGTGGAGTTTGGGGAAGACAGACCTTGACATTTGGAAGTTGTAGGTGCTGGGATTTATAGTTCACCTACAATCATAGAATCCTAGAATCAAAGAGTTGGAAGAGACCTCATGGGCCATCCAGTCCAACCCCCTGCCAAGAAGCAGGAATATTGCATTCAAATCACCCCTGACAGATGGCCATCCAGCCTCTGTTTAAAAGCTTCCAAAGAAGGAGCCTCCACCACACTCTGGGGCAGAGAGTTCCACTGCTGAACGGCTCTCACAGTCAAAGCACATTCTGAACCCCAACAGCGATAGAATTAGGCCAAACTTCCAACACAGAACCCACATGACCAACAGAAAATACTTTGTTTTTGATGGTCTTTGACACCCTCTCTCACACACACACCTCAATCAAGGGTCCTGACCCCCAGGTTGAGAAACACTGACTTAGAGGCATCTTCAAAATTTTTGAAAATTTGAAAAAAAAAATATTGCAGCTCCAAAAACATGTTGAGAACGTACTCATTTAGGGGCAAAACATTTATTTATGTTTACATATGTTTACATATTTTGGAAAACCAGATGCAGTTGGAGAGGGTGGCCTTTCAAAGTTGCCTAGAAAGCTAATGTGGCCATTGTTACCACGCTGTTGTTGCCAACTTTCGTTCATACAGTTGCCAACTCCCAAGTAAGAATTATCTCCCCACCCCCCAAATAAGGAAAGTTTTCTTCACTAGGCCAACTTTCTTACATTAAGATATTAACCCTATTCCATAATTTTCTATCCAAATTATGAGAAACAAGTGTAACATGGGCTCTCCCATTGATAAAGCCATGGCTACGACACCAATGCCACCTTCAGGATCTCAGTCAATCTTTGCAAAAGGAAGCAATGCACTTGCAAAACACACTCCTTCCAGGCTTTAAACAAGTAGCACGTGGTTTCGTGCAGCTGCCAAAAACTTGCACAGACTCTTTGCAGAGAATGACTAACATGACACAGTATACGTACAGCGAAAAGCAAAATGCTTCTGCATCCGATTCCGGTTTTCTTTGCAAGCGCTGTCTGTTTCTGGTATTAAATGGCAAGGCTATCCTAATACAAATGTATTTTCGGAACTACTGTTCAAGTTTCGCTCTGTGGACACTACATCCTCAGCTGTCAAAAGGAAGCAGAAAATGAGAACATCAAGTTTCCCAAAAGACAAACAAGCATTTGGGAGGGGGGGGGGAAATGGCAGGATTTGCTGTGTTTCCTTTTTCCTTGATTGAATTTACAGTTCAGGCATTCAAAGCAATTGCCGTTGAGTAGGCCTTACAGTATTTGATGAGTCTCTGATTCTCTTTGCGCCACAAATGGGCCATTACCGAGCATCTTCCGAAAAAAACACTGACTTTGCAAAATGAGACGTAATGAAAGCGGCAATTCCGTCCCCGATGTTGTTATTTCCGCCGGTACCTTTGCATTCGCTGTTGTCGGGGAGAATGAAATAAACCAGAATTTGTGGTGGGCAAAACAGAGTTTCAGAGGAGAAATGATGATATACGGCATTCAACATATTGATAAAAATGTATTGTCAAAGGCTTTCATGGCCAGAATCACTGGGTTGCTGTAGATTTTTTGGGGATATATGGCCATGGTCTGGAGGCATTCTCTCCTGACGTTTCGCCTGCATCTATGGCAAGCCTCAGAGGTAGTGAGGTCTGTTGGAACTAGGGAAAAGGGTTTATGTATCTGTGGAATGACCAGGGTGGGACAAAGGACTCTTGTCTGCTGGAGCTAGGTGTGAATGTTTTCAACTGACCACCTTGATTAGCATATAATGGCCTGACAGTGCCTCAAGCAAACTTTTGTTGAGAGGTGATTAGATGTCCTTGTTTGTTTCCATAGATGCAGAGTACGAAACTCAGAGAGAATGTCAGCATGGCCATATCTAATCACCTCTCAACAAAAGTTTGCTCCAGGCACAGTCAGGCCATTGTATGCTAATCAAGATGGTCAGTTGAAACATTCACACCTAGCTCCAGCAGACAAGAGTCCTTTGTCTCACAGATATATAAACCCATTTTCCTAGTTCCAACAGACCTCACTACCTCTGAGGATGCTTGCCAGAGATGCAGGCGAAATGTCAGGAGAGAATGCCTCTAGACCATGGCCATATAGCCTGAAAAAACCTTAAACAACCTATTGATAAAGTTCTGAAAATGTTAAGCAGATGTTGATCCATCGCTTAAGCATGGCGAATACAGGCTCCATTTGGGTCATTTTCAAAGAAGCGGCCATTTTGGTGGCATCTACACTGCAGAAGCAATGCAGTTTGGAACCATTTGAACTGCAGTGGCTCAATGCTACTGAATCCTGAGAGTTGTAGCTCCACAAGGTCTTTCACCTTTTCTGCCAAAGAATGCTGGCGCTTCACCAAACTACAGCTCTCAGGATTCCATAGCATCGAGCCATGGCCGTTCAAATACTTCCAAACTGCAATAATTCAGCAATATGGATGGATCCTTCAAACATAACTATCTTTGTATTGTCGAAGGCTTTCATGGCCGGAATCACTGGGTTGTTGTAGATTTTTTTCGGGCTATATGGCCATGGTCTAGAGGCATTCTCTCCTGACGTTTCGCCTGCATCTATGGCAAGCATCCTCAGAGGTAGTGAGGTCTGTTGGAACTAGGAAAAAGGGTTTATATATCTGTGGAATGACCAGGGTGGGACAAAGGACTCTTGTCTGCTGGAGCTAGGTGGGAATGTTTCAACTGACCACCTTGATTAGCATTTGATGGCCTGGCAGTGCCTGGAGCAATCTTTTGTTGAGAGGTGATTAGATGTCCTTGTTTGTTTCCTCTCTGTTGTTGTGCTGTTGTAATTTTAGAGTTTTTTAATACTGGTAGCCAGATTTTGTCAGCAAAGGACAAGAGGGATCCTCTCACTTCTGCAGGAGTCTACCGTGTACCATGCAGCTGTGGACAAGTCTACATAGGGACCACCAAACGCAGCATTGCCCAAACACGAATCAAGGAACATGAAAGGTACTGCAGACTACTTCAACCAGAGAAGTCAGCCATAGCAGAGCACCTGATGAACCAACCTGGACACAGCATATTTGAGAACACAGAAATGCTGGACCACTCTCACAACCACCATGTCAGACTACACAGAGAAGCCATTGAAATCCACAAGCATGTGGACAATTTCAAAGGAGGAGACCATGAAAATGAACAAAATCTGGCTACCAGTATTAAAAAACTCAAAAATTACAACAGCAAAACAGCAGAGAGGAAACAACCACGCACATCTTAACACCTCTCAACAAAAGATTCCCCCAGGCACTGTCAAGCCATTATATGCTAATCAAGGTGGTCAGTTGAAACATTCACACCTAGCTCCAGCAGACAAGAGTCCTTTGTTTCAACCTGGTCATTCCACAGATATATAAACCCTTTTCCTAGTTCCAACAGACCTCACTACCTCTGAGGATGCTTGCCATAGATGCAGGCGAAACGTCAGGAGAGAATGCCTCTAGAACATGGCCATATAGCCCGAAAAAACCTACAACAACCCAGTGATTCCAGCCATGAAAGCCTTCGACAATACATTTGAACCTTGGTCTTGAGAGTTGTAGTGCAGTCTCAAACCAGGATCCCACACTGCCTCTCAAACCTACTTTTAGAACATGGCCATATAGCCCAAAAAAAACCTACAGCAACCCTTTGAAATAGTAGGTTGAGAGATTCTCTATCCTGAAATTCTATTATTCTATGAGTCTATGGGTAGTTTGCATGACCAATGATAAAGCTCTGTATGTACTGGTGTGAAACTGGTTGGTGAGAAACTGATTTCCTAAAATCTACTTTTCCTGCGAGTTTTTAGCATTGCTTCCAAAATAACCATCAAGGAATGTTGACAGTAGAATTCAGAGAACATCAAACAATTTGGGTAGGTGCAAATGAGCAATAATTTTGCAGTGTAGCCCTAGTAAAAACAACAACAACAACAACAACAACAACAACAGAAGATCCTGAGTTTCATCACTTTTGGAAAAACCAGCCACATTTACTGGCCACATTGACTCATAAAAGTTTTAAAGGCCCAGTTCAAGCACCAAAACAACTAGCAAGGAAAGAAAGGACAAGCTGCACGAACGCAAGGCTTTATCCGTTTGGAAAATGTGGATATTCGTGGGATCTGGATGGAAGGCTTTAGCATCTTCCAATGCGCTGTATGCTGCCTGAGTCAAGTTGGCATCACCGGACACCATCACATCAAAGACACACGACTGGAAGTAGACATCATCTACTACTTCCAGCTTCTCTTCGCAGAGCCGGCGGGCCACCTCTCGGGTCATGTCGCCCTTTTGAGGACAGCAGGAGCTCCGGGAGACACGCTGGTTCGAAGGGCACCCGAAAACGCAGAGCTGCAAGTCTTGTTCATCTGTGAAAGAGAGGGCCACCTGCTCAGCTGCTCGGATGGAGAAGGAGAGGTGCCTGGCTACCTGGCGCACAGCGATGATGGTGCCAATGTACGCCGCATGGATCTCCACATGCCGCCCAGACGTGCGTTCGTGGAGGGTCAAGCTGCTCCCTCCGGGCCTCTCCCCTCCATTGATAGAGCCATCGATGAAAGCGGCTGGAAGGTCTCCTGCTTCAGCCTGGTAGATCTTCTCATCCACACACTCTTTCATGTTCTTAAATATGATGGTGAGCTGAAATGGAAGCAGTGGTGCTAAAATATAAGGTCCCCCTTAATCTCCTCATAGAATCATAGAATCAAAGAGTTGGAAGAGACCTCATGGGCCATCCAGTCCAACCCCATTCTGCCAAGAAGCAGGATCTCTCCTCCAAGAAGCAGGATCTCTTCTCCAAGCTAATCATACCCAGCTCCCCAAGCCACTCTTCCAAACCTTTGACCATCTTGGTGGCCCTTCTCTGAACATAGGACTAAGATGTGGCGCAGATAGTTGGGAGTCAGCTGCATTAAAATCACTATTGACTGAAGCTAGCCTAGGTCAGAGTGAGTTTCCAACCATTTGTCTAGCTTGCTGTCGTCCTTTGCAGCCCGAAAGACAGTTGCATGTGTCAAGTAGGAAATTTAGGTACCACTTATGCGGTGGAGGCTAATTTAACTAATTTACGACACCATAAAACTCTCCAACAGCGTGCAAAAGAATGAGGAAGTACTCCATCAGTTAAAAATTTTAAATATATGTGCTATTGTGGTTTTTAATGCTTATTTTGTCTTGTTGATTTTATGTTCTTGCTGTTTTCTTTGTATGTATTGATTATGTCACTTGGAAACCGCTCTGAGTCCCCTTGAGGAGATAGAGCGGTATATAAATAAAGTTTTGTTGTTGTTGTTGTCACAAGTGGATGGTGAGGCGACAGCTCCCCTGGTGGCCGGAATTCGAAAAGCATACCCTCATGAAGCTGGAATGTTAAATAGCCTCTCTGGCTCTGTCTATATACATTGTGGGTCTATGGCATTGAATGTTTGCCATGTATATGTGCAATGTGATCCGCCCTGAGTCCCCTGCAGGGTGAGAAGGGCAGAATATAAATACTGTAAATAAATAATTAAAAAAATATTTCAACTTTTCCATCTCCTCCTTGAATTGTTTTACCCAGAACTGGACACAGTGTTATTATTTCAGGTGGGGTCTGACCAAGACACTCCACTTAGGCAGAAAAAACGAAATGCAAAGATACAGAATGGGGGACAATGCCTGGCTTGAGAGCAGTACGTGTGAAAAAGATCTTGGAGTCTTTGTGGACAACAAGTTAAACATGAGCCAACAATGTGATGTGGCGGCAAAAAAAGCCAATGGGATTTTGACCTGCATCAAGAGGAGCCTAGTGTCTAGATCTAGGGAAGTAATGCTCCCCATGCTCTATTCTGCCTTGGTTAGACCACACCTGGAATATTGTGTCCAATTCTGGGCACCACAATTGAAGAGAGATATTGACAAGCTGGAATGTGTCCAGAGGAGGGCGACTCAAATGATCAAGGGTCTGGAGAACAAGGCCTATGAGGAGCGGCTTAAGGAGTTGGGCATGTTTAGCCTGAAGAAGAGAAAGCTGAGAAGAGACATGATAGCCATGTATAAATATGCGAGAGGAAGCCACAGGGAGGAGGGAGCAAGCTTGTTTTCTGCTTCCCTGGAGACTAGAACGCAATGGAACAACGGCTTCAAACCACAAGAGAGGAGATTCCATCTGAACACGAGGAAGAACTTCCTGACTGTGAGAGCCGTTCAGCAGTGGAACTCTCTGCCCCGGAGTGTGGTGGAGGCTCCTTTTTTGGAAGCTTTTAAACAGAGGCTGGATGGCCATCTGTCAGGGGTGATCTGAATGCAATATTCCTGCTTCTTGGCAGAATGGGGTTGGACTGGATGGCCCCTCCTCACCACACTACAAATCCCAACATTCCATTGGATTGGCCCACTGTAATTAATGTGGCAGTAACATGCAAAGTATAATGTAGTGCAGATGGTTTCCTCACTATGGCTCATTCCCCTATCACCTCTTGAACTACCAAAGGGAAACTTTCAACCCAAGACCTTTGAAAGGATTCCTTCTTACCTGGCTAATGCCAGTGGCATTCGATCCTTCCACAATGGGAGAACTGGTTGCCTGGACGAAGAGATAATGGTTGTCCAGGAGGGGCCAAGAGCCTTCCACTCGGCAGGTGTGGAATTCATCACTGAAGGTCCGGACGTGGGGGTCTCCAAAGGTAGCACAATACCGGTAGGCTGGGGTCTCCCCGTGCAAACGGGCAAAGCTCTTCTCGTAGTCGCAGATGTCTGGGGAGGCAAAGCCTGGCTGGTTGGGTCCCGGTGGGATGGGCCGTGGTGGCGAAGTGGGACCTTCCTTGGAGCAGTTGTTCTGAATCATGAGGTCTTCAATGCCATAGACGGCTGAGTGGTAGGCGAGGTTGCCACGGCAGGTGCGGGCTGTCCTCCGGGTGCAGACCGAGTAGGAACGTAGAGCTTCACATAGAGAAGCATTCCGCTTGGGACCCTGTATATTCTCTGTGGCGGCCAGGTAGGCTGAGTTGCAGCGGGAGATCTTGCAGTGGCAGCCAACTGCAGGAGGATAACCAATGTAAACAGGTGACATCAGTACCTGATGATTGATAGGTAAGATCCAATACAATTCTAAACGGCATAAATAGGAGTATAGCAGGCATGGGCAAACTTCAGCCCTCCCTCCAGGTGTTTTGGACTCCAACTCCCACAATTCCTAACAGCCTACTGGCTGTTAGGAATTGTGGGAGTTGAAGTCCAAAACACCTGGAGGGAGGGCTGAAGTTTGCCCATGCCTGGACTATAGTGTCTCCAATGAAGGAAGTAATAGTCCTGCTCTATTTTGCTTTGGATTGGACCTCATCTGGGAATACCAGGTGTCCATTTCTGGGCAGCATCATTCATAGAATCATCTACATAAATAAAAATGTAATGTTCGTTTGTGGGATTAACAGAACTAAAAAACCACTGGACAAATTGACACCAAATTTGGACACAAGACACCTAACAACCCAATGTATGTCCTTCACTCAAAAAAATTGATTTTGTCATTTGGGAGTTGTAGTTGCTGGGATTTATAGTTCACCTACAATCAAAGAACATTCTGAACCCCACCAACGATGGAACTGAACCAAACTTGGCACACAGTTCTCCCATGACCAACAGAAAATACTGGAAGGGTTTGGTGGGCAGTGTCCTTTGGTTTTGGAGTTGTAGTTCACCTACATCCAGAGATCACTGTACACTCAAACAATGATGGATCTGGACCAAACTCTACACGAATACTCAGTATGCCCAAATGTGAACACTGGTGGAGTTTGGGGAAAATAGAATCTTGACATTTGGGAGTTGTAGTTGCTGGGATTTATAGTTCACCTACAATCAAAGAACATTCTGAACACCACCAACGATTGAATTGGGCCAAACTTCCCACACAGAACCTCCATGACCAACAGAAAATACTATGTTTTCTCGTGGTCTTTGGTGACCCCTCTGACACCCCCTCGCGGCCCCTCGCGGGTCCGGACCCCCAGGTTGAGAAAAAGAAAGAGATAGAGAAGGAAAGAAGGAGAGAAGGAAAGAAAAAAGGAAATGAAAGAAAGAGGGAGCAAAGGGGGGAAGGAAAGAAGGAGAGAAAGAGGGAGGGAATGAAAGAAGGAAAGACAGAAGGAAGGATGGAAACAAAAAGTGAAGGAAGGAAAGAAAGGTAGAGAAGAAATAGAGAAAGCAGAAGGAAAAGAAAAATGGGGGAAGAAAAGAAAGAGGTAGAGAAGGAAGGAAGGAGAGAAGGAAAGAAAAAAAGAAAAGGAAGGAAAGAGGGAGTAAAGGAAGGAAGGAAAGAAGGAAAGAGGGAGGGAATGAAAGACAGAAGGAAGGATGGAAGCAAAAAGTAAAGGAAGGAAAGAAAGGTGGAGAAGGAATAAAGAGAGAAAGCAGAAGGAAAAGAAAAAGGGGGGAAGAAAAGAAAGAGGTAGAGAAGGAAGGAAGGAGAGAAGGAAAGAAAAAAGAAAAGGAAGGAAAGAGGGAGTAAAGGAAGGAAGGAAAGAAGGAAAGAGGGAGGGAATGAAAGACAGAAGGAAGGATGGAAGCAAAAAGTGAAGGAAGGAAAGAAAGGTAGAGAAGGAATAAAGAGAGAAAGCAGAAGGAAAAGAAAAAGGGGGGAAGAAAAGAAAGAGGTAGAGAAGGAAGGAAGGAGAGAAGGAAAGAAAAAAAGGAAAGGAAGGAAAGAAGCAGTAAAGGGAGGAAGGAAAGAAGGAGAGAAAGAGGGAGGGAAGGAAATGATATAGGAATACTGGGAACCTTAGTTTGATGAGGTACCACCAACTACAGACCTTGTAAAACTATAACTCCCAGGATTCCAGAGCATTGAGCCATGATGGTTCAAGTTGTGTCCAACTGCATTCATGCTGCATTCCTCATCTTCTTCTAGTCCTCACTCTGAATCTTTTGCTTTCGGCAACATTTTGGTGATTGCGAGACCTTTTCTGTTCAGAGAAATCTTACCGTTTCTACCTAAGAGGAGAAGGATGAAGACTTGAATGAAGAAAGGCAGGTTTGCCAAGGAGGGAGGCCTCGCTGAGCCAGTGGAGTACACCATTCTGCTCCATCCAGCAAATCCAGAGACTGGCCACAGAGATTTCTAGTCCTCAACAACTGGCTTTCTGTGTTGCTGTGAAGGAAGCAAAGGGAATCATAGAATCATAGAATCAAAGAGTTGGAAGAGACCTCCTGGGCCATCCAGTCCAACCCCCTGCCAAGAAGCAGGAATATTGCATTCAAATCACCCCTGACAGATGGCCATCCAGCCTCTGCTTGAAAGCTTCCAAAGAAGGAGCCTCCACCACACTCCGGGGCAGAGAGTTCCACTGCTGAACGGCTCTCACACTCAGGAAGTTCTTCCTCATGTTCAGATGGAATCTCCTTTCTTGTAGTTTGAAGCCATTGTTCCATTGCGTCCTAGTCTCCAGGGAAGCAGAAAACAAGCTTTCTCCCTCCTCCTCCCTGTGGATTCCTCTCACATATTTATACATGGCTATCATATCTCCTCTCAGCCTTCTCTTCTTCAGGCTAAACATGCCCAGTTCCCTAAGCCGCTCCTCATAGGGCTTGTTCTCCAGACCCTTGATCATTTTAGTCGGAAATCCTTGTTGAAAGCTTGGTTACATTTGCTCTGACTCGTAGGCCCCTTCTACACTGCCATATAAAATCCAGATTATCTGCTTTGAACTGTATTATATGTCAGTGTAGACTCATATAATACACTTCAAAGCAGATAAAGTGGATTATCTGCTTTGATAATCTGGACTATATGGCAGTGTGGGCTCATATAATCCAGTTCAAATCAGATAAAGTAAATTATTTGCTTTGTTAATCTGGATTATATGACAGTGTAGACTCATATAACCCAGTTCAAAGCAGATAAAGTGGATTATTTGCTGTGTTAATCTGGATTATATGACAGTGTAGACTCATATAACCCAGTTCAAATCAGATAAAGTGGATTATCTGCTTTGATAATCTGGATTATATGGCAGCGTAGACTCATATAATCCAGTTCAAATCACATTAAATGGATTATCTGATTTGATAATCTGGATTATATGACAGTGTAGGCTCATATAATCCAGTTCAAATCAGATAAAGTGGATTATCTGCTTTGATAATCTGGATTATATGGCAGTGTAGACTCATATAATCCAGTTCAAATCACATAAAGTAGATTATCTGCTTTGATAATCTGGATTATATGGCAGCGTAGACTCATATGATCCAGTTCAAATCACATAAAGTGGATTATCTGCTTTGATAATCTGGATTATATGGCAGTGTAGACTCATATGATCCAGTTCAAAACAGATAAAGTGGATTATTTTCTATGTTAATCTGGATTATATGACAGTGTAGACTCATATAATCCAGTTCAAATCAGATAAAGTGGACTATCTGCTTTGATAATCTGGATTATATGGCAGTGTAGGCTAATATAATCCAGTTCAAAACAGATAAAGTGGATTATTTTCTATGTTAATCTGGATTATATGACAGTGTACACTCATATAATCCAGTTCAAATCAGATAAAGTGGATTATCTGCTTTGATAATCTGGATTATATGGCAGTGTAGGCTAATATAATCCAGTTGAAGTCACATAAAGTGGATTATCTGCTTTGTTAATCTGGATTATGTGGCAGTGTAAAAGGGGGCATAGGGTGCATCTACACCATAGGATGAATGCCATCAGACACCACTTTTCATTGCCCTGGTTCAATGTTATAGAAATACCGGGAACCTTAGTTTGATGAGATACTACCAACTACAGACCTTGTAAAACTATAACTCCCAGGATTCCAGAGCATTGAGCCATGATGGTTCAAGTTGTGTCAAACTGCATTCATGCTGCACTCCTCATCTTCTTCTAGTCTTCACATTTTGGTGACCGCTAGACCTTTTCTGTTCTGAGGTTCAAAATTTAATGATGCTGAAGCAAGAACTTAGCAACCTTGCCTTTTTGGACTGCAACTCCCAGAATCCTGAGCTCATTGCTCCAAAGAGGTAAGCTCTGACCTATTGTGCATCTACCATGTAGAAGTAATGCGGTTTAACTCTACTTTAATCATCATACTTCAATGCTATGGAATCATGGTCGTTGTTATTATATTCATTTATATCCTGTTTTCCTCTCTTTTTGAAAAATATATTTATGTTTAGTCAGTGAGACAAACATGCCATCATACAAACAAAGACATGTGCAAACAAACAAATAACATCAAACTCACAAAACAAGTGTCTTTTTACTCGATATAAAACACTAATCTACCACAGCTAACAAAACTACTAAGGCCCCATATAAATCCAGATTATCAAAGCAGATAACCCATATGGCCTGCTTTGAACTGGATTATACGAGTCTACACTGCTAAATCATCCAGTTCAAGGCAGGTAATCTCGATTTTAAATGGTAATTATAGATGGGGCCCAATATACAAAAAGTACATACAATGCAAAACTATCCAAAGTTTAACGTATTGTCGAAGGCTTTCATGGCCGGAATCACTGAGTTGTTGTAGGTTTTTTCGGGCTATATGGCCATGGTCTAGAGGCATTCTCTCCTGACGTTTCTCCTGCATCTATGGCAAGCGTCCTTAGAGGACATCTAACAAAAGTTTGCTCTACACTGCCAGATTATCAAAACAGATAATGCACATCATCATATCTGAACTGGATTATATGAGTGTACACTGCCATATAATCCAGGTCAAAGCAGATAATCTGGATTTTATATACAGCTGTGTAGAAGGGGCCAAAGTGGTACCAAACTGCATCAGTACTACAATGTAGAGGCACCCATGACTGCAACTGTACACAATTATAGTTCTGCAATTCCATTTCAACTGCCAACTCTATGACTTACTAGGATGTATAGTTTGGCAAAGCACTGGGGCTCTCTGGCAAAAAGCTTTCAATACCTCCCAAAACTATAGCTCCCAGGATTCCAGAGAGGGAGGCCATGGAAGACCTAAGTCAGCATTTCACAACCTGAGGGTTGAGACCCCCAGGGGGGTCGTGAAGGGAGTGTCACAGGGGGTCACCAAAGACCATCAGAAATCACAGTATTTTGTGAGGGAAGTTTGTCCCAGTTCTATCGTTGGTGGTGTTCAGAATGCTCTTTGACTGTAGGTGAACTATAAATCCCAGAAACTACAACTCCCAAATGCCAAGGTCTATTTTCCCCAAACTCCACCAGTGTTCACATTCGGGCATATGGAGTATTCGTGCCAAGTTTGATCCAGACCCATCATGGTATGAGTCCACAGTGCTCTCTGGATGTAGGTGAACTACAACTTCATGGCAAGTTTGGTCCAGATCCATCATTGTGTGAGTCCATAGTGCTCTGTGGATGTAGGTGAACTACAACTCTAAACCTCAAGATCAGTGCCCACCAAACCTTTCCAGTATTTTCTGTTGGTCATGGAAGTTCTGTGTGCCAAGTTTGGTTCAATTTCATCGTTGGCGAGGTTCAGAATGCCCTTTGATTGTAGGTGAACTATACATCCCAGCAACTACAACTCCCAAATGCCTAGATCTATTTTCCCCAAACTCCACCAGTGTTCACATTTGGGCATACTGAGTATTTGTGCCAATTTTGGTCTAGATTTATCATTGTTTGAGTCCACTGTGCTCCCTGGATGTAGGTGAACTACAGCTATTTTCCCCAATCTCCCCCAGGGTTCACCTTTGGGCATACTGAGTATTAGTGTCAAGTTTGGTCCATCAGACCCATCATTGTTTGAATTCGCAGTGCTCTCTGGAGGTAGGTGAACTACAACTCCAAAACTCAAGGTCAATGACCACCAAACCCTTCCAGTATTTTCTGTTGGTCATGGGAATTCTGTGTGCCAAGTTTGGTTCAAGTCCATCATTGGTGGAGTTGAGAATGCTCTTTCACTGTAGGTGAACTATAAATCCCAGCAACTACAACTCCCAAAGGACAAAATCAATCCCCCTCCCCTTCACCCCTATCAGTATTCAAATGTGAACTTATCAGGTATTTGTGCCAAAATTAGTCCAGTGAATGAAAATGCGTCCTGCATATCAGATATTTACATTATGATTCAAAACAAGAGCAAAATTACAGTTATGAAGCAGCAACAAAAATAATGTATTGTCGAAGGCTTTGATGGCTGGAATCATTGCTTCTAGAACAGTGGTTCTCAACCTTTCTAATGCTGCAACCCTTTAATACAGTTCCTCATGTTGTGTGACCCCCAACCATAATATTATTTTGTTGCTACTTCACAACTACAATTTTGCTACTGTTATGAATCATAATATAAATATCAGATATGCAGGATGTATTTTCATTCACTGGACCAAATTTGGCACAAATACGTGATATGCCCCAATTTGAATACTGGTGGGGTTGGCAGGGGATTGATGTTGTCATTTGGGAGTTGTAGTTGCTGGGATTTATAGTTTATCTACAATCAAAGAGCATTATGAACTCCAAAAAAGGGAATTGAACCACTCTTGCCACACAGAACTCCCTTGACCAACAGAAAATACTGGAAGGGTTTGGTGGGCATTGATCTTGAGGTTTAGAGTTGTAGTTCACCTACATCCACAGAGCACTATGGACTCACACAATGATGGATCTGGACCAAACTTGCCATGAATACTCAACATGCCCAATGTGAATGAACACTGGTGGAGTTTGGGGAAAATACACCTTGGCATTTGAGAGTTGTTGCTGGGATTTATAGTTCACCTACAATAAAAGATAATTCTGTTCCCCACCAATGATAGAATTGGGCCAAACTTCCCACATGGAACCCCTATGATCAACAGAAAGTACTACGTTTTTGGATGGTTTTTGGTGACCCCTCTGACACCCCCTCGCGACCCCCACAGGGGTCCCGACCCCCAGGTTGAGAAACACTGTTCTAGAACATGGCCATACAACCCGAAAAACCTGCAAGAACAAATATATTGTTATGG